TTATTATCATAATAATAATAATAATATTTATTTATCCTTTGAGACGTTAACAACGTATAGGACATGTCAGTACAACACGTTAAAATAGTATAAAGAAAATAAACATACATAAAGATAAAATATCTCAGTAGTTTTAAAGTATGAAAATGTATAAAATATAAAGAAAAAAAAACAAGATTAGTCAAAATTGGATGTATAATAAAATCTGGATGAAAGTCTGGACGCAAACAGCTAAAGTCGTCTAAAAGGAATTCACTGACACTGTAATAAGCCTTAGACAGGAGCAAATTTTCAACTTCTCTTTTAAATGACATCAAAATCATGGTTTTGAAGTGATCAGGTAGGTGATTGAATAATTTTATTTCCATATATTTGAGTGACTGTTCAAATTTAGAGGATCAGTGTCTAGGAATATTTTACAATTTTCCATTTCTGGTTGAGTAACTATGGTAAGAAGAATTTTTGTTATATTTTGTTAAATTATCGTGGATGTATAGTAAGCATTCAAATATCTAAATACAAGGGAATGGCAGGATTTGATATGATTTGAAGTGTTGTTTGCACGATTCTCTCCATGGGATATCAAATAATTTTCTGATAATTTTTTTTTGGGAAATAAAAACCCTATCTTTGTTGGTTGCATATCCCCAAAGAACCACATTGTAGCTTAAATGGCTGTAGACCAAGCTATAATATACGTCCAGCAAGGCATGCAAGGGCATAAAATGTTTTATTCTAGAGAGAGCATAGTACGCTTGGTTAACTTTTTTACAAGTGACTGTAATGTGTTCAGACCATCTTAAGCAATCATCCACATAGATTATTCCTCCTCAAAAAATGTTGTTCAAAGAATATAACTGTATAGTTATTTCTTAAATGCCAAAAAAATTCAACTTTTTGAAATCCAAAACAATTCTGTTTTTCATACTTACTTGCCACTTTATGAGTGATTCTGGAGTTGAGGGATGACTTTTCCATTCTAATTTCTTTTCCTTGAGCTTGGTAAGGAAGCTATTATCGTTTATTTTGGAATGAGGTAATTCTCCTCTGGCGAATACTTCCCACATCAAAACACCAAATGAATAAACGTCGCTTTTGGTTGAATATTCGTCTTCATATACTGCTTCATGTGGTAACCATCTCAAAGGAATTATCTGAAAATGATTATTCTAGTCATTTATATGAAAATGTGATACAATTGAATATCATTCTATGAACTCCAAGTAGGATTTTTCCTTGATTTACAAACACAAGCTATTAATCAAGGGTGATGACATCTCAGCTTACAACGCATCAAAGCAAAGCTTTGACGTCGGCTGCTTATGAGATTCGTCCTCTGCAAGGCAAGGCAAGTTGTGAATTAGAGCCCAAACACTAAGTTTTGCTAGACTCAACTATTCTTCTGTTCTTAAAGAACAAGCCTGGTCAAAGAAGGGCGATGACATCTTCTCCTATGAAGACCCCATCTATGGGATAAAATTACCTATTTTTACAAATACTTCATGATTGAAAATATTTGTATTTGTGGAAAATATTGTTATAAATCATGACCTAAAGAAAATAACGCCGGCTGCCACTGGTAGCCATAAACCAATTGTGACGTGGCTTAGAATGGGCGAATGTACGATGTTCGCAGACGTTCTAGAGGTAGCGACAATAATGCTACCGTCTTCGATGGAATTCCGAGGAACGTTCCAGGGCCTCTGATTGCAAATATAAGCGCCATCCACTCGTCCCTCGAGACAGTCAAGTGGAAGTTACAGTGCGGTACGCGAAACGATCTAGTAAGACGATAGACATTCGAATAATAGTTGAAGTTTTAGTTAAAGGGTTTGTTGTTTGTTTGTTCGAAGTGAAATGAAGTTAAGTTTGACTATTCAGTGTAATCAATTATTGGTACTCAACTGTACTTATAATGCACTGTTTGGAACCTTTGGTGTAGTAGTGAATATTACTGGAGTTTTTTCCCAACACCAAATCATTATCTTTAACACTTCGACACGTGTTTCGATCACCAAGTGATCATCTTCAAAGAGGAAGAAAAAAACTGATTTTAATCGAAACACGTGTCGAGGTGTTAAAAATAACGATTTGATGTTGGGAAAAAACTCCAGTAATTTACAGACTCAACTGTACTAAAGAACAAGCCTAGGCAAAGAAAGGCGATGACATATTCCCTTATGAAGACCCCATCTATGGGGTAAATTACCTATTCTTACATATACTTCATGATTGAAAATATTCGCATTTGTCGAAAATATTGTTACAAATCATGCCCTAAAGAAAATAACGCCGGCCGCCACTGGTAGCCATAAACCAATTGTGACGTAGCTAAGAGTGCGCGAATGTACGATGTTCGCTGCCGTTCTAGATGTAGCGACAATAATGCCGCCGTCTTCGATGGAATTCCGAGGAATGTTCCAGCGCCTTTGATTGCAAATATAAGCGCCATCCACTCGACCCTCGAGACAGTCAAGCGGAAGTTACAGTGCGGTACGCGAAGCAATCTAGTAAGACGATAGACATTCGAATAATAGTTGAAGTTTTAGTTGAAGTGTTTGTTTGTTTGTTCAAAGTGAAATAAAGTTAAGTTTGACTATTATTCAGTGTAGTCAATTATTGGTAAACTCTCGGGGAAAAACGTAACAATATCTAATATATTCAATTGTTACTTATTCAAAGAACCCATTAATGAAACCCACCATTTCCTGGTGAAATAATATTGGAGATTTTCCTTCTACATACCTGATTAACATGTTTGCAATATTCTTGACTATACGGATCTCTAGTTAACCTAGGAAGACCAACTTTTGCTACTAGAGTGGACGTGATCAGACAATTTCGGGCAGCCAAATCTTTATGAACTATTCGGTTGCTAGCTAAATGATCCATTCCACGGCTAATCTGTTGGATGATTGCGACACTCTGAACTGACGTGAGAGGAGGTGAATTGTCGTTTTGTGTTGCAACTAAGAACTTTTTCAAGTCGCCCTGAAAAATAATAAAAGCTATTAGTGAGAAATATTTTAGAGACTAGGACTATCTTTATTCATTTCTTCATGATAAGTACCTTTCCCCAGATATTTATTCATTTTGTTCAAGTAACCAAAAAAGGGGGAAATTAGCTATAAATTGTTCATAATAATAATATAAATATCAATTAATGAAAAAAGGACAAAAAAGATCTGATATTCACGATGTTACATCAATACAATGAATTCTTGAAATTTCATCTGTACTAAGCAATATTATTCATCAAGTCAAGAATGATGATATTGTTGTAATTTGGAAAAAACTCACCCAGTCAGTATATTCAAGAATCATGAAATTTGGTTCAACTTCTCTGCACAAACCAAACAATTTTGTTATATTCTCATTCGTTATTTTACTGAATATGTCAATCTCTCTCTTAAATTCTGTTAGACATCCTTCATCCTTAGTTTGACTCAGTGCCTTAATCAGTACTGGTACTTCCTTGTCATCAACAACTTCTTCTGGAGACGTGATCTGGGAACTTCTGGATGCCCTTTTGTCATGTACTGTTAAGGTTTTAGCTATTTTGGCGATCATTATATCTCCAAACTCACCTCTTCCTGAAATTTGAATGAAATATAGATTTTTCTTTATCCTATTTTTCAACGTTTTTATGTGTTATACTAACCAATCAATTTAATATCTTTCAGATGGCTCCGAGATAAAGCCAGTTTGTCGTAGTTACTAGATTTAGATTTTTTGGAATTGTTAGAGGACTGAGAATGTGTAGTTTCTGCACCATCACTTCTTTGACCTTCTTTATGGTTTTCGATCCCATTGGCTTTGGGTTTTGAAGAGTCTGAACCATTTCCACATAGTGCTTCCTTGAGTTCAGTGTGCTCTATATCTCCATTCTCAGTTTTTCCTACTGGAACAGTGAAAAAAATTAGTTTTAGAAGTTTACAATATATTGATAGATGAAAAGTGACTGCACCATTTTTTCTTCAATCGTTTCGAAGCATTTGACTGCGTAAGATTTGGTCAGAAATTATGGAATAGAGGGAATCACTCACAAATGATTTGAGTCATGTCCAAGTGGCAGAAGTCAATTGGTCGAATCATCTACACTTTATTTGAAATGTATCGTGTAACTCACATTTCAATGAATTTCATTAGTTCAGACTTCCATTGTCTAATATTAAAATTCTTCTTTTTAGTTATTTCAGGGATTTCAAATCATTTTATATAATATTAGGCAATGGAAGTCCGAACTAATGAAATTCATCATGAAACATTGTGAATCACCTTCAAACTCATGGTTCAATACTAGGACCAACCCTATTTTTCGACGACTCAACAACCATTAATATCAAGGGTAAATTTACTTTATTTGCAGTGGCACCACAATATTACAGCGTAAAAGCAATTCTACAGAACTTTACAATGCCTTTTGCTCCTATATCAAGAAAATCACGAATTGGTATAAAGCAAATCTCTTGGCATTTAATATTTCAAAAACCCATATTTTTTGTAAATCATCCCCGTAGCTGTTCATCGCAAATCGATTGTTATTCGGCCAAGATCGTGCTCAACTTGACTTGCGCTTTGCGATTATTCTAGATTCCGCGTCGCTTCGACAGAGTTCTACCGACTTATCTATCGGCTTCGAAAGATTTCGATTACCATAAATAAACATTACCAACACGCATATCGGAGGAGTCTAGTTGACAGTGCGGTACGAAGTGATCCAATAAGGCGTTAGACATTTGAATATTAGTTTGGAAATTTTAGTTAAAATGTTTGTTGGTCAGTGTAGCATTGAAATATAGTAAAGTTTAATTGTACAGTGTAGTCCATTATTGGCAAACCCACGGGGAAAACATATCAATATTATCTTTCAAATATAATATGGATATATAATATTCCCTTGGCTTCTAATGCTAGTAAAAATGAGAATGTATTATGCAATAAATTTCTTGGTATATTTATTGACAAAAAACAACTCAAATTTGAGTACCACATTCATTTCTTGAATAAAAACTCACGTCTGGATGTTATGCAGTGAAAATAACACCTAAAGAACTCAAGATTTTTTATTGATAGACCCTATTATGGTTGGCAATAATTGTATAATGATAACTTTAATAAGGTGTCTGTATATGTGTGAGTATTTTCATCTATTTATAGATTTGCATAAATATGAATACCTATGTTCACATTTTTCTTTCTACTTTTATTTTACTTTTCCTTAGTATGATTGATATTTCGAGAAAATGTAAAATCATTTGGTAAATATTAGTGTTGGTCTATGTATACTTGTATATTTTCAATTCTGTCTGTTTTTTGTTATGTCATACATTTGACTGTTTTGCAAATCCTTCTTTGTCAATAAGAGTTACTCTTTGAACAATAAAGCAAATTCATTATTATTGTTATTTTTAGGCATTTCAATCCAGACAAAAAAAGTATTTTGCAACATTAATAAAACTTCAAAAATGATTCAGATGGTCTGAACAAACTCTCTGAACCTCCATTTTTTGATTCATCAACCATTTATTTCCCAAGGAACATACAGTATGTTTATGAAAGGGTAATTGACAAGTCAAAGTTTTTGGGAAATAGCTGATGGCATATTCAAAACTGTATGAATTATTGAGCTGCTAAAAAATACAGACATTTTCATAATGATATAAATCTCTTACCGTCATTCAGTGGTAATTTTCTTGATCGACGTCGATACCTGCACCAAACCATCAAACCAATAACTAAAATGATGTAAGCACCAGCCACTGACATTGTTATCAAAACAGCCTTAGTAACTGTAGAATCGCCATCTGCTTCTTGGGCTGCAAAAAACAATAACTGCGTTAATACAAATTGTCCACACTAAAACAAATATTAATTATTATATTTTCATTTTGATACAAGCTGCCCCAGCGAACTTTGAATTACCTTAGAATTAATTGATAAATGCCGTGTTGAGTTATTAGCTGAATGATATTAACTCATTTATATTGTGTTTGTGAAGTTCGAAGTCGAGTATACTAACAAGACCAGTGTTGTTAGTTAAATTTTTTTGTCGCAAACACAGTTGATAGATAAAAAAACACTAGAAAATATATTTTATAGATACTTACTACATACACTGACCACCTACTCTATTTATAGTCAATTAATAATAATTATTATAGGGAGAAAACTGAGTTGCCACTACTTTTCAACTCTCAAACAGTTGAAGAACCATTAGATCTGGCAACACTGAACACGGCGCTCCTCTTGTGTGGTTTCTTTTTCGTCTGCAGTCGATTCAATCTCAATACTCCGCCAATTACATTAAGGCTTCTTGTGAATGATTCTATTTTTTCGCTCGCGGAATTATGAATAACACTGATAAATTTGGCTGACTTTGCTTCTATCAAGACATAACAATTATTCATGCCCGCAACATCGCAACTGTTACGACCTCGATTGTCTTTGTGCATATGACGATTGTCATAAACTAACCTAACAAACCAAATGTCATAACCTAACAAACCAAAAGTCGTCACTCAGTGTGTTTAAGTTTTAACCTTTTTCCTGAATTTTTCAAATATTTCAAGAGTTATTCTACAATTCCAGGCAGATAAATAAACAACTAATAAAAAAAAAACACAAAAAGCGGTTCCGCCGTTCATGAGTTGTAAATGGTGTAACACGACTTAGCGACGTTGTTTCATATGGCATTGATTTTTTGAACTCACTGTGAACAATCAGCTGAACTTCCTTCCTGTTGAGTCCGGCACTGCTGCCAGCTGTACATCCATATTTATTTTCATCCTCTCTGTGGACTTCGCTTATTAATAGAGTTCCATTACTTAGCACTTTGAATCTAGCGAGATCAAAATCGTTCATCTTGAGATTTTTGTCCCATTGTATAGTAGGCTTAGGATCTCCTTCGACCACACAATCGATAGAAACTGATTGACCTTCAATTGCTTCGATAGGATTTTTTGGTAGAGTGCTGAATCTTGGAGCCACTAAAATAATAATAATTATAATCATCGTGTTCAATATTTTCGCTAATGAAAACAATAGATGTTGTCCTTTAAATATTCACATAAAACTATAATTACAATGCAAATTATAAATAAGCAACATTACAGAGTAGTCTGGATAGTCTGCAGAGTTCGAAGAGAAAATTTCAATATTCCATCCGTTTTGCTTCTCTTTTCGGACGATATTTGTCTCACCAGGAGTTATAATATAAACTCCATGATAAAAATTGTCTTGCTCTAATGGTCGAGAAGAACTACATCAGGCTTATTTCGAAGGTGGGGTTATAGGTTAGGTCCAAAGTGAGTGGGTCTGTTCGACCCTCTACCGCAACCCGCAAGGGTTTATTGTGGCTCACACCTATCCACACTCGAAAAAAATAAACCCAGCTTCTTAACGAAGCCGATTAGTTTGTATGGTGAGTGGTCTCTCAGGTCAGATGGTAAAAGTACAGCTCTGCCGAACTCTAAAAACCTGATTCCGTTCCCATCGAGGCAGGCATAAAGTATATGCTCTGCTGTTGCATCGTTAATGAGGTAGTCGGATGTCAAGGTGAAAGATTCCCACCTTGATACCCGCCACAACCTTCCCATATGAGGGTTTTTGCACGTCAGCTACATCTGACGATGCCTTAGATTTAACCGTGCAGGGCTTTTTCGCCTCTGGTTTTGGTGAATCATCACTTGGGCGCAAACGTTTCATAACCTGCTCATGGAGGGTTTGTTCCTCCACCTGAGACAGATTTTGCGTACGCCGCTCAAGAATTTGGTGCAAGGCGGTTTTATAAGGTACCTCGCTCTTGAGGAGACGACTGATTCGTTTTATGACTGCACCACCAAATCTTTTTGTTTATGTTCAGTTATTGGATCAGGAGTTGCGAGAGTTGAGAAGCTTTCGCATCTGATCTAAATTTACAGGGAGGTCAGTTGGAGTCGTAAACTCGACATACACCTCCTCTGTAGACTCGCTTCTGATCTGAATTCACAGGGAGGTCAGTTGGAGTTGTAAACTTGACATCCATCTCCTTTGTAGACTCAGTGTCAGAAAGAATTTTTAAGTTTACTCTGTCCACAAAAGTCCCATGAATAGCTAATGAAACAAGGTCAATTATGGCAGAGCCCCGCATTACCGTGACAAGGCGATGCTACGACGAGAGGGGGCCCGGTATCTCGAAGGTTCCGTAAAGACAGCTGATAGGCTCAGTGTCATTCATCCTCTCGGCATGGATACACATACCTTAGGATTAAGTCACCGTTGGATTGTTATTCACTTAGGGAATAACAGAACCAGTGGGGCTACGTGGAAGCAGACATCCGATGGCCGGTTTGCTCAACCAGGAGCTGAAAACTCCATGACAAAAATCGTCTTGCTCTAATGATCGAGAAGAACTACATCAGGCTTATTAGTTCGAGGGTGGGGAACGAATAGTTCTAATAAATTCGCCACTTTTCGCTCCCCACAACGGATTCAATCTTCTCCGGAACGTAGGGCAACATCGGTGTCTCGTCAATACCGTAAAAGTGCCGTAGGTGGTAATAAAATACTCTTAGGGCCAGGTCACATCAATGAATATAGGCCGAGACCGCATATGCTGGACATGCTGACAGCAAGTGCATTAGGGTTTCACGCGCCTTGTGTTAGGAACTTCCATATCTCTCATGCGACAGCAGTTGACTAAAGTGTTGAAGACACCATCCTGGCAGATCTTCATGAACCCCTCAGTTTCCGACTTCAGCCAACTCGACCCGAGGAAAGTGAAGGTGAGGCGCTTTAATAAGGCGAGGTCTCATTATTATTATCACCTTATCTAGGGACGAATTTGTGAGACCCCATGTGAAATCTGTTTTAAAATCTGTTTTTCCGTTAACCAGTTGTCGCACCCCTACGAACAACAACCCTCAGAAGTCGAAACTTGTGCGAGCTTGTGTTGAGCATTTGAGCGCGAGTAGTGAAATATTAACAATGATGTAACACTGCTTGTAGTCCCAAAAAATTAGCCTGAAAATAAATTCACTTACCAACTACTTCAATGTTTATCGATGCATTAATGGTCCCTTGACTATTGCTAGCGATGCAATTATATCTTCCTTTGTCTTCGCTCTGGACTCCATTGAAATGTAAAGTACCATTCATATCCGTTATGTGACTGGTTAAATTATCTACTTGAACCCCTTCCTTCTCCCATCGGATTATTGGAGGGGGCGTACCCTGAGCTTTACAGTGCACTTTTGCGATACTTCCAAGTTCCATTTTCTTGTTAACCGGAGCAGGAACGAATCGAAGTTGCTCTGAAATAAGTGAAGGTTAAATCACTTTATATGAAACCGAATGTTCTTAATATGGATCCCTTCGGGACTCCACTTACCAATTACTGATATCGTAGCAGGTTTTGAAGCTACTGGTTTCTGCCCTACAGTAATGACTTCGCAAATGTATTCCCCCCTGTCAGTTGCCTGAGTACTATGGATCACCAAAGTGCCATTCATCTTGAAAATCTTCAATCTTTGGTAACTGGAAGATTCGTCATCGTGTTTCAGATATTTGCCATCTTTTCTCCATTTAACTATCGTGTGCTGCCTAGAGTCAGATTCAAATTCACAGTGTAGTATGGATTCTTCATTTTCGTCGACAGTAACGCTTACTGGATGTACCAGAATTTTTGGTTTTGCTAAAAAATTAAATAATAATTGATATGTTATGTAGTTGTCATCTTTTCTATTCAGAATCTAAAGCATTCTGTCATATATGGGGTCAAAACTATGCAGCTTTCTTTGGCTCAGGCAACAAAGCATCAGAAGTATCAGCAGTCTAGGTTTTTGTGTTATTTACTGCTTGAGAAAAGTCTGATTTGCCCATTTCTTTCAAGCCTAAATGAGGACAGGTTCAAATGAATGGATCTGTTATACTTTCCATTGTAACACAAGGATTTCATTGTGGTTCACCAGTGGGAGGAATCATGGAATAGAAAAACTTGGGTTGAAATGGGTTCTTGACCAGCTTTTCTCCTCATATGAGTACCAAACTCTATCATCTCTACCAGACTATCACCTGATCATTTGCATTACTAGAATATTGTGTCAAAACTGCTATTTCATGCTAAACGAAAGACTATCTATGGCATATTACTTTTATAAGTCACAGCCACTTGATACATAGAATGGTTTGAACATCGGCTACTGAAGAAGATCTTGATAAACCTTATATCTGGTTTATTTATTTATTTAGCTTATGGCTACATCACAGGTAAGTATGTAACAAGAGTAACATTTTCATTTCACGGTTCTCGATATTTCACAAGCGAATACTAAGGTAACGAATATTGACTCTCTTCTCTCGAGTGGCAAACAGCAAATCGGATGAGTAGGAATTAATTGGACAGTCCTCTATCAGGTGTATAATAGTCTGTCTTTCAGCGCCGCAGACACATTTTGGAAAAGGTATTTCATTATCTTATCTGTTATATTTTTGGATTAGTTATTTATTTTTCTCACATAACATAGGTATCTCTTTAGTTTCTTTCATTGGTACATAGTCAATAGGTACATAGTCAATGGTGGTGAAGCCAATTTAAAGTATGAAGATAATGCTAACAAATTTATTGTTTATACTGTGCTCAATTCTTCACTTAGTTTTTCACTATATTACCATTTATTGGATTGAATTTGTATTTTTGTCATTCAATTGTATTTCAAGAAACAACTAAAATCAAATCACTTTTTGTAACTCTGTCTCCACTGTCTTATATACAGAATTTATTGTATACTTATTTCTCACCATAAAGAAGTCACGAATTGTAGTTCTCGGCTGTCAAATTTAAAGTAATTTTCGTATATATCCTCAGAAACTAATACCAAATTCACACAACTATCATTGATAAAATTAATAACTTACTAGTAACCATCAATTCCACTGCCATTTCCGTAATACCCGCTATATTCTCGGCTACACATTTATAAAGACCAGCGTTTTCCGACTTGACATTATCGATAATCAACCTTCCATCATCAACCCTTACGTCTCCACTATCAGATATCTGCAAAACAAGAAAAATAATTCCCTTCCTTATTAGTGTAATACTGTTATTTACCGTATGGCCGTTTGGTCTTTCCCACCATTGTTTAGCTGGAGGTGAGCTGTTTGTTGGCAGACATGTCAACTGAAACGTCAATCCTTCTCCAACAATTTTTTTCTTGGAGTCCGGCAATGGCGGTTCGAAAGAGGTTAGGACGAATGGTTCGATGTCTGTAACATTTAACAAAGTCTCAATAAAAGGGTATGATATTAGATTGATTCAAAAGTTTTGTCAATGTTTATCAGTCTACTTTAAACTGTAATATCTCAGTGAATAATTATAACCAAAATAAGGCCATTTGGATCAGTACTCTTTTGCCAACGTAACACAAGTTGATTAAATCCGTCAGCATTAATGCCACAAGTGGAAATCTCACATCAAAGTGTCTTTTTGAATATGTCAATGAAAGAGAGTTACAACTCGTAGTAAAGTATCATACATGCTATTTTCAATTTGGCAGTGTAGCTTTGAGGTACTTCTGTAGATTCACTACGGATTCCTACACAGTTGTAGAGACCCTGGTCTGATTCAGTCACATCGTTGATCTGCAGGGTGCCATTAGAATGGATGGTGATCCTGCAAAATGAAAAGGAACTATATCGCTGAATTTTACTATTATTTTTACAGACTAATTAGGAAGAAACGTATCAAGGTAAGACAGCATATGTAATCGCGAATAGAATGAAAAAAAAAATAGAGCAAAAGCTACGAAAATGAACAGTAACAGTATTATTATAACATCTAGTGAAATGCTCTTGCACAATATTTAAAAAATTCCTACCTTTCGTTGGTTGACAACGGTTTTTCTTCAAAATACCATTCAGTAACATCTGCATGTTGATAGGAACAGTCAAAGAAGGCAATGCCACCATTCTTGATGATGAGATCTGAAGGCACGATTTGAATCAAAGCTGTCGTCTCCCCTGAAATAATTTGAGATTTCAGTCATTGTATATCAACCTGAACATTGAAAATCTGAAATTTTTACATAATTTGATAATTCAATGAGAAGAGTCACAAAAAAAGTTTACAATTAAGGAGAACCTCGTTTATCTTTGACATTCGATGATTGGGGCTGCTTTTTGATGGGAAAATTATAACGACTTTGATTTTCCCATTTTTGACTATATTTGAGTGATTGTATCAGGATTTCAACTGTAAGTTGTTGCCAGTTTTCTGATATTGTAGAAAAATGGGTGTATGGGCTAGATAATCGTCGAAAAATGGGTGATTCTCATTCCGAATGTACACTAACATAATTAACATGGCTGCCCCCTGGAATAATATCATATAATTAAATAATATTTTCTGGAATACTAATGATACTGCAGAATCCTTATTTTGGAATTTTGGATTACGGTAGACGGATACTTTGCGATCGTAAGTTGCTGGTAATAGTTGGTCGTCCAAAAATGAATACAAACAATGAGGAGATTTTAGAATTTGTCGAAAAAACCCTCGATTAGATGTTGGTCACATCATGCTTTGGAAAAGATTAAAGGAAGAGCAGCTTCATCCTTCTATCACTTAACAACCGTTCAGGAATTACTAGGTTAAGATTATCTTAAAAGAATGGTATTTTGCGACTGGTTTTTAACACAAAAAATGACACATCACCAAAATACTTTTAAAGCCGATGGTTGTGAATAATAATTTAATAGGCCACGGATTTCTTTCAAATAATATGCAATAATATGGCGCAAATTACTTACAGTTCTTACAAAATACTTGGAGTAAATTTAGGAATGAGGCAAACTATGTGGCATTACCAAGAAGAAGGGAATATCTTTCCGATCTGTACCCTGGACGTTTGATTGGAAGGAACCCTGATGCATCTATTTATTAGCCAGCGAGAAGTCCAGATCCTTACCCTGTTGACTTTTGCTTCTGGGATTTTATAAAAGGAGACGCGTATTCGGTTGTTCTGGCGAACAACAACTGAGGCATCGAATTATTGAAAGTGCAAATCGATTTTGTCAGAAGCCTATGATTTTAAAAAAAATTCGATTTTCCTTTTCAAAACACTGCCAAATGTGTATTCAAGAGACTGAAGGCCGATTTTCAACATTTATTTTACATCTTTTTACATATTTTTGTACCTCAGTCTGTCTGTCTCTGCAGCTTTTATTACAAAGCAATTAGTGGAAACCAACAGTCAAATACAAACGTTTTTTTGATAACATATGTTTTTTAAGACTCTGGTTTCGACTAACATTAACAGTTGAAAAAACTATCGTGCAAAAAGAAGTGGAAAAGAGGAAAAGCAGGAAAATCATGAGAGGGTTAAGGATTATATAGACATGATCTAGCAATGAGGTGATACCGTTGAATGTTTACCGTTGAACGTTTTTTATTTCTTTTCTTCTGTTCTGCCTAGACTCAACATGTTTGAATAAATCAATGAAATACATATTCTACTTCATATTTTCGTTTTCAAATCAATGAATGATTGATTATATTACCTTTAATTCGAAGAATCAATAAAGAATCGAAAGAGAGGGATTGAGAAGAAAATCTGTTAAAATATTTTTTTGCGTTAACAAGTTGTCGCTCCCCTACGAACGGCAACCCTCAGAAGTCGAAATTTGTGCGAGTTAGGGACTAACGAGGTCTCAACTTTTAACGTGTGATTCCTAAGAGAAGAATAACAATATTTCAATGGGGACACATCACATGAATCCATTTATATGACATTTTGTGAAATACAATTGATTAACGAAACAATTTTTTTGAAGAACATAGGCTTTCACAATCGTAGTCACGATTAAAGAAAATAAAATCCAGGCTGATAAGCTGTGGTCGAATGGAACTTGTAGATTCAAACGTTTCGTCTGCTACTGCGACAGACATCATCAGTGATATATGCGTTGACTGCGAGGAAGAAAATAGCAACGATAAGTTTTAGCAACCACTGAGAATCTGTCATTGCTGAGTGGCATTTGAATGCGATCTATAATGAATCATTTTGAAGATGAAAGTGATTCATCACTGCTTTGTATTACAGAAAAAAATCTTGAAATTCTTTCTTTCTGAGTAAATACTGCGTCATTTTTTCGTTTGACATTCTGTTTTCGCTCAAAATAATTATTTTATTCATTTGCATATTAAGAAATGCAATTCATTATAAGATTTGAAAATAATTTATTTGAAAGAATTTTTAACGATAAAATCATGAAAAATTATTTTAAACACTTTGGAATGCTTACATTGAAATTGCCTACCTTCTGCAAGTTTGTATGCCTTTCATCCTGTTTTTTTTTCACAGATTTACGTACCTTTTGGAAAATGCCGGGACTGTTTCTTAAAGTTTCTCAAAAGAATCGACGATGCGATTTCCTAACTACTCTTCAGTATCATGTGTGTCAAAGAAAAAACAAAAAAAAAGTAAGAAACCAGATTTGTTCAGATAGGAAATGATATTTCATAATTATTTTTTGCTTTAAGAAGGAGCAGTGGCGTATCAAGTTTTAAGTTGAAAGGATGCAGTTCAGATCCGGCAAGGAAATTAAAAAAATGTTGCAAAAGCTCAAATCTTTAGGAGATGTTGATGCATTTTTTGCTTGAATATCTCTCAACGTACACATTTCTATGGAATTTCTTAACATTTTCACAATGAATTATCAAAAATGAAATGCTCGTGGAAAAAGATTTTCAGCTGTCTACTTCTCCATCATTAAACAAAAAATGTGAGAAATTTTCAAATAAAGAAAAAAAACTGCAAGAGAAACTTCCTAAAGATAAGTAGTGAACACAAAAAAGTTTCTTTCGGCTACAAAATGTAAGAAAAGGATTAGGTTAGGTTAGGCCAGGTCCAAAGTGAGTGGATCGATTCGACCCTCCACCGCAACCCGCAAGTGTTTATTGCGGCTCACACCTATTCACACTCGACCAAATAAACCCAGCTTCTTAACGAAGCCGACTAGTCTGTATGGTGAGTGGTCTTTCACGTCAGATGGTAAGAGTACGGCTCTGCCGAACTCTAAAAACCTGATTCGGTCCCCAGCGGGGCAGGCACAAAGTATTTGCTCTACTGTTTCATCGTTTATGAGGTAGTCGGATAGTCAAGGTACAAGATTCCCACCTTGATATACGCAACAACCTTCCCATATGAGGGTGTTTGCACGTTAGCTACACCTGATGATGCCTTAGATTCAACCGTACAGGGCTTTTTCGCCTCTGGTTTTGGTGAATTATCAATTGAGCGCAATTGTTCCTTCACCTGAGACAGATTCTGCGTACGCCGCTCAAGAATTTGGTGCAAGCCGGTTTCATAAAGTACCCCGCTCTTGAGGAGACGACTCAATCGTTTCCTGGCTGCACCACCAAACCTATTTTTTTGGTTTTATGGTTCAGTAATTGGATCAGGAGTTGGAGAGTTGAGAAGCTCTCGCTCCTGATCTAAATTTACAGGGAGGTCAGTTGGAGTCATAAGTCCGACATCCATCTTCTCTGAAGACTCAGCGTCAGAAAGAATTTTTAAATTAACTCTGTCCATAGAAGTCCCACGAGTAGCTAGGGAAAGAAGGTCAATCACGGCAGAGCCCTACATTACCGTGACAAGGCGATGCTACGACGAGAGAGCGTCCGGTATTTCAAAGGTTCCGTAGAGACAGCTGATAGGCTCAGTGTCATTCATCCTCTCGAAGTGGATAACCACACCTTAGGATTAAGCCATCGTTGGGATGCCATTCAGCTAGGGAATAACAGAACCACAAGTGATTCTGTCATTCCCGTATCCAGCGGGGCTACGTGGAAGCAGGAATCCGATGGCCAGTTTGCTCAA